CTGTAAGCTCCTTCAGGGCTAGGACAGATGTGAATGTACAGTATAGTATGTAAATCCCCCTAAATTAATGGTGCTATATACTAATAATAAATTGTAAATAAAAACTCAACTGTAGCCTATGGAAGCACTGGTCCACCAGAAGCTCTGGGGAAGACCCAGGTTTACCCAAATTAAGCAATCATATTTTATGTTAGTAGGATCAAACTCCAGATTAGAAGAAAGATTATCTCTGTTAGTTTACTATGGATTTTTGTATTTTGCAAAACATTATTGCTCTTGGCACTGTAGTGATGAATTATCTCAAAGAATGGGTATAACCATGACCCGAAAAATACATTTCGGTCCCAATTCAGCTAGAAAAGCAGTTGATGATGATATTACTTACACAATATGCTTTCTGTGTCATTATAAACATCTGTCAGGAGACCATGACAATCAATTACAAGTTGGACAGTGGGATATCAAGATGATAATAAGATAATGATAACCATAGTGTCACACACAAAATAATTATACATTTCTAATTCCTATACACATCCACCGAGGTCACACTTGAAATTTGCTTTCCTGCCCCATGATTGGTCAGATCATCTCTGGTACCTGTAAAAACAGTCCAATTTTATTTTAATAGGATCAAATTTCAGATTAGAAGAGGGATTATCTCTTTTTGTCTACAATTAATTTTTGCACCATTGCTCTTGGTACTGTAGTGATGAATTATCTTTTAGATTGGTTATAACCATGACCCTAAAAATACATTGTCAGTCCTAATTCATTTAGATTCAATTAAGCTGGAAAAAACAGTTGATGATGATATCACTTAGACAAGAACCTTTCTATGTCATTATAGACAATTATCAGGAGACCATGACAATCAATTTCAAGTTGGACAGAGAAACATCAAGATAATTATACAATATTAATAAACATAGTGCCACACATAAAATAATTACACATTTCTAATTCCCATAGATGTCCACCTAGGTCACACTTGAAATTTGTTTTCCTGTGCCATGATTGGTCAGTTTTTCTCTGATACCTGTATAAAAGGTGATCCAGAGGATGAGTGTCACACCAAGATTCAGAGAGAGAAGATATTTCACATTACAGGGAAGGAGAATTCAGAACAAGATGAATGAAAGGTCTTCCTCCTGCTTCTGGGCTGTGTTACGGGGCTGGTGACCAGTCTACCTCTATCGGCACCACTACAGGTGAGATGATGAGCTGGAATGAACAGTACAGGGGACGGGGGAAAACTAGATTTAGGAAAGAATAACATCCTATAAGTCACTGACAATAACAGTTAGTACTGATGCATAACTTTAGCCAAAATTGTTTCCCCTTTAGTTTTGGAGAAAGTGGTGAGGGGTTAGGAATCCTGGCAGATTTTACCAGTCGATTTCTTATTACAGTCTGGGTCCCCTGTAGGGAGATTTGACCATTGTCCTGGCATTGCCACTAGGACAGAAAGTGATGGGTAATCCATAATATTATAGATGTGAACAGAACAGGGGGTACGGTATAATCTTCCACTGATGACTGTTGTGATAACATCTGTCTAACAAAAATTACCGTCATTTTAAAGAGATTTTCAGGAGGGCTGAGGAGGACTCTGCCAGATGGGGATATGGGTTGGGGCCAAGACTTGTTATCTGTTATTATTGTATATAATTTTAAATAAGGTATTAATAGAAAACATTTAATTTTCAGTACTATCTAGCTGGAGTGAAGAAAGATGGTAAGCCTTTTAACATTCTTATATAAAGAATAATTTTTGCTATCCTTCTATTCTCTATGTTATTTATCCTGCTTTATTCTCAATTCATTAGTCCTTTTATAATAACATTCCTAATCCTATATCCAATTCAATCAATTTTTTTTGCTCTATTGCCCCAATCAGCCTGACCAGAGAACCTATAAAATTATATTTTCTTAGGACTTAGGATTGTCCATCTAGAACCACCCCTGAGGAAGACTGTTCCACATTTTTATAGCAGAATGAAACAAAAAACAAGAAGCGCACCACCTTGAGCATTACCTCAGTAACCAAAATTATTGATAAAAGAATGGTACTCACAAACAGCGAATAAAATCAGGCATGTAAGTCCTCCATGGGACTTCAGAGACCAGAAGCCAGCGTGAATCCCATCAAGGAGGTAGTTACTCAGTACAGCTGACGCGTTTCATCATGCCTTCTTCATCATGGCCTTCGCCTTTATTCGCTGTTTGTGAGTACCATTCCTTTATCAATAAATTTTGGTTACTGAGGTAATGTGCAAGGTGGTGCGCTTCTCGTTTTTTGTTTCATTCTGCAGTATTGTTTGGGCTTCCCCAGCCTTGTGTGGAGCTGCACAACCTTTTATGCATTGGTAGTAGTTCCTTCTGGTTTTGGTTCCATCCATTTGTCACCGGCCTGAGTCCTGGAGCGCAGGAGAAATTTGCATTTGGTCCACATTTTTATAGCTCTGATGGTACAGATCCTTTACCTTTCACCGATGTGAAACAATGCTGCTAAACCCATAGAAAGATCAAACATTTTAAATGCTCATGTGCAGTATTCTCCTTCCCATAAAATAATTATTATTTACTGTAATGTGGATTTGAACTTGTAAATATAATGTGACTATTCTGAGAGTCATTTCCCTAGCACAGTCCCCTCCTTTATTGCTTCTCCTCTTCTGGGAGAGTCCAATTACTGTCTGTGCTGGCCCAGCATCTCTGTCCCTCCCCACATAACCTTTTATATGGCTGCCAGGGGAGTGAAGAGGAATACTATATAGTGTCACTTGAGCAAAAGCTCTGAGTCTGCTAGGACTGATGACATCACATACAAGATGGCAGCAACCAGCAGCAGTTTCAAGCTTTCAGCTGTTTACAAAAGGGAGGTTTTTTTAGTAAATGACATGCCTAAAATATGTTACATGCACTTATAATCCTAGAATCATCTGTCTGTTTTTTGTTAAAACGAATGGTCTGGAAGCAGGGTCTCTTTAAAGTCATCTCCCTTTACTTAGATGACTGTGTTAATGGCACTCAAGGCAATTATTATTATTATTAACAGGATTTATTGCGCAGCGCAGTTTTACAATATAAGGGAGACAGTACAATTACAATTCATTTCAGTGCAGGAGGAATAGGAGGAGCCCTGCTCGTGGAGCTTACAATCTAAAGGAAGGGGAAGGTGATACAAAAGGGGATAGCTGTGGGGGTGATCTGGAGGAGGTGATTCAAGTACAGTTCTTAGGTGGAGGTGGGGTAGGCTTCCCTGAAGAAATGAGTTTTCAAAGATTGCCTAAAGGCAGACAGGGTGGGGACTGACCGGACATACTGTGGGAGGGAGTTCCAGAGGATGGGAGAGGCTCTGGAGAAGTCCTGGAGGCGAGCGTGGGAGGAGTGATGAGGGAGCTAGAGAGGAGGATATCATGGGAGGATCGGATTGGGCAATTTGGGCGGTATCTGAGGATGAGGATGGTGAGGTAGCTAAGGGCAGTGTTGTGGATGGCTTTGTAAGCTGTGGTTAGTATTTTGAATTTTATACGTTGACAATGCAGGCACAGACTACAAGATTATAACATTACCCAACCAGATGTTTCACAGACCAGGGATAGCTTTGTAGAGCTACCATTTTTTATTATTATATGATCAAAATTTTAAAAAGGGGTCAATATTCACACAAAATTAAGTCACTTTCATTTTTGTGGTTGCAATTATTTGACTAAATGTGCCTAATGGGATTTCTGTATATGCAGCCCCAAAGAGTGAAGGCTCAGAAGTCCATCAAGGGATCTTCAGCAACATTTTGCACGCTAATAAAGGTAATTCTTCTAAATCACAGGATTCTTTACCGCATTATGAGGGAGCTAAATCAAGGCAAGGCAATAGATAATAGGGAATTGTAATGCACAAAGTTGTGTGTTTCAGGATCCTTTAAGCCAGTGGTCTCCAAACTGCGACCCGGGGGCTGGATGTGGCCCTTTGATTGCCTTTATCTGACAAAGGCAATCAAAGGGCCACATCCAGCCCCGGGTTGCAGTTTGGAGACCACTGGCTTAAAGGATCCTGAAACACACAACTTTGTTCATTCCACCAACTGTCACCAATGATGGGGCACTATTTCCTCTACTGACACCATTGATGGAGCATTATACTTCTCTTTGATATCAACAAAGGAGAACTATTCCCCTCACTGATATCATAGTTATGTAGTTAGTCTGGGTGAAAAAAGACAAGAGGACAAAAGTCCATCCAGTTCAACCATTGAAAAAAAAAAAAGTTATAATCCTATACCCACAGTAAATCCAGAGTAAGGCAAAAAAAAACCCAGCAAAGCACGATCTAAATTGCTCCTGGAGGGAAAAAAATTCCTTCTTGATCAACATTGGGGCACTATTCCGCCTATTAAATCCAATGATGGAGCACTGATCCCGGGGCATTTTCTACTCCCACCAGCTACAGTCCGGACCCCTAAAGTCTGATGGACAGTGAACTGGCCTTTTGCTTAGAAAGTTAGGAGACCCCCCGCTTTAAGCCATGCACTGGTGGACTAGCCAATAGCATGAGAGGAGAAATACTGTGCTTTGGTCTTAAGCTACAAACTCTTTATCATTGCTGAATGAATCTTTAAAATCATTATTCCACAAAGACCGATGGTTTATTCCTATTCGCTTCTACCATTGCAGTGACACTTGTGAGATAAAGAGGTTGATTATTAAAAGAAAATAGACTGTTCACTTTGCAAAGGAAATTGTACTTTGCGTGGGAATTTAGTTGAAAATCAGCATCAATATCTTTACTAAACATGTGTATTGTTTTTTTTACAATTTCTACTTCTGCAGCTACAATTAAAACTGAACTCCAGGCAAGTAATAAATTCCAAAACTAAACTGCATTCACTATATCTGGTCTCCCAGGACCCTGCATTCACTATATCCGCTCTCCCCAGACCCTGCATCCACTATATCTGGTCTCCCAGGACCCTGCATTCACTATATCTGGTCTCCCAGGACCCTGCATTCACTATATCTGGTCTCCCAGGACCCTGCATTCACTATATCCGCTCTCCCCAGACCCTGCATTTGCTATATCTGCTCTCCCCGGACCCTGCATCCACGATATCTGGTCTCCCTGGACCCTGCATTCACTATATCCGGTCATCCAGGACCCTGCATTCACTATATCTGTTCTCCCCGGACCCTGCATTCACTATATCTGGTCTCCTTGGACCCTGCATTCACTATATCTGGTCATCCAGGACCCTGCATTCACTATATCTGGTCTCCCAGGACCCTGCATTCACTATATCTGCTCTCCCCGGACCCTGCATTCACTATGTCTGGTCTCCCCGGACCCTGCATTCACTATATCTGGTCTCCTTGGACCCTGCATTCACTATATCCGGTCATCCAGGACCCTGCATTCACTAAGTCTGGTCTCCCCGGACCCTGTATTCACTATATCTGGTCTCCTTGGACCCTGCATTCGCTATATCTGCTCTCCCCGGACCCTGCATTCACTATATCTGGTCTCCCTGGACCCTGCATTCACTATATCTGGTCTCCCCGGACCCTGCATTCACTATATCTGGTCTCCCTGGACCCTGCATTCACTATATCTGCTCTCCCCGGACCCAGCATTCACTATATCTGGTCTCCCCCGGAGCCTGCATTCACTATATCTGGTCTCCCACAGTACACAGGACATGGAAATGCAATTATTTTAGTAAATATAAACTGCTAAATACCTTTTCTCATCACAAGTCAGAGCAGTCTTGCGGCTTCTATCTGTGTCCAGCCCAGCAGTAGCTAAAGCTTGTAGAAGGAGTTTTCTTTCTGCTCTAGGAGGATGGAAATCCCCTGACCTCTGTCATGACAGTGCTGATTGGCCCTGTGCTGATCACACTCACTCTCCCAACGAAAGAAAACCTCTCTAGCAATATACACTAAACTGAGCATGTGCATGCCTACAATTCAGTCTGGAGATAAGTGATAGTCGCTTGAAAAAAGGGGGGAACAGAGATGAAAGGATCAAACAGCCTTTTTTCACAATGCAGAGGATTAACCCCTTAGGTTCCACAGTGAGTATAACAAGCATGCTTTACTGCATATACAGACTGATTGTACTGTTGTGGGTTTAGTAACACTTTAATGCAGCCCTGTATTCCTTACTACATCTTAGTTTTACTCTTTTAAATGCAAGTGATGTAAGCACCTTAATCTGAATCAGCCTCTTGCAGTCCTTATACAGTAGAGCTCAGACTAGGGGTGGGAGAAGTAGCACAAGGAGTAGGTTAGCTGGTCTGTAAAGTATGGTCCATTGTGATAGAAGGAGAGAGCAGAGTGACAGAGAGATGAACTCATCAGCCCTATGAGCGTTACTTAATTGCAGCAGAGGAAAATCAGGTCTTCTCCCTGGCCAAACAGGGCTATACTGTGTCACGGAACTGAGTAAAGCCGGGCCTGTGGGCTGAGTGAAAACAGATTCCTCCAGATGGACAAATCTCCCCCTGTGCCTATTGTGTTCTGTTGTACACCCCAACATTGTATTGTACTGCATCTGATTGGGCGCAGCCACTGTAAGTTCTAAATTTCCTATCTGGATCGTTCGAAGGAACTTTCATTCAAAGGTTGTTGGGTGGAAGGGCCGACATAGCCACCCACATAGCAAATTTCAGTCAGCTGTGTATGGGCAGCCCAAATCTAATACATTTTAGAGTATTAACTGTAACCATTTTCTGTATTTTCAGATAGCAAAACTCCCCCTGTATGGAGGTGACATTCTGGTACAGACTGACCGCAGCGCCATGAACTGTACTTCTTGCCTTTGGCCTAAAAAATGATGATGGCATTGTTCCTGTTCCCTTCATCATATCATCCAGTTACAGTGAGTTCCCTCTTCATTCTCTTGTGCTGAAATAGTCATTGCTATTTGCTATTTGTAGAAACCCAACCTTCTATCTCTGTTTCCAGGTCCCAGTGCAGTGACTAGCATTACACTCGCCATGACAGAGTATGAGACATTGACTTGTGTGAGGTTTGTGCCTTTTACGTCAGAAGACGATTATCTCAACATCTCACCTGAAGATGGGTAAGGTTGTCTTGTCTAACTATTGTCCAATATATTTCTCTACATAAAATGAAACATTAGGGATCATTTAAACCTTTAACTTCTTAAACGTTAACCTCCATGGCGGTATGATTATTTCAGATTTTTTGGTGCTGAAAGCGGTACCATTATTTTGCATAGAAATTTGGCGTTTTATATTGTGTAGGCCTGTAATTCTTAGGAATAACTCACTGAAATCTGTCCGAACAAGAGTCTAGTAAACATCCCGGGTAGGATAAAACTTGAAACACGAAATCATAAATTATAATTTAATAAATAATCATGAAACATAATAATATAATAATAAATTTAATTCAATAATATAATCAAACCAAAAACACTGAAATTTGAAATAGAGCGCCAAGTTCGCACATCACTGAGCAAAGTCGCAAAATCGTTTTCAGTGTCTGATGACCAATTTCCCCCACGAATCATTATCACTCAATTCTGCAAGTGGTTCTGATTTACTATCGCTGTTCTCTAGCTGGTCTAATACCGATTTTGACCTAAAGGGACGCTTTTTGGACGCCATGAACATTTCTCAGTTTCCAGGCAGAAAGAACAGTAAAAATGTAGGCAGGGCACAGGACAAAGCACTCGGGACAAAATGTGTGTGAAATGGTTTGGAACAGTAATGTTTTACTATGTGATTTTAGTGATTTTTGTGAATGTCACTTTTTGTCATTTTCAAATTTCCCGCTGTTCCATCCCCCGTACGTCCCGACGCTTGCAGGGGACGGAACCCAGATGACAGATGCCGGCATCCGCCAGATTACATTGCCGGGGACACTGCAGGGGAGACATCGTGGGAGCGCAGGACAAGGTAAGTGATACAGGGATCGCGGAGCAGCGCCGCATGGTATTCCCGAGTGTAGCTCGGAGTTACCGCTTGTGGTACTGAAACTTTACCCCGAGCTACACTCGGGAATACCGCCAGGGAGGTTAACACACCTATCTGTGCATGACTGCTCCTCTTTCCTCTTTCCTTCAAAAACACTATAGAACTCCTCTGTACCTTTACAACCAGGGGCGGACTGACAACTCATGGGGCCCCCGGCAATAGGGGATCATGGGGCCCCTGTGTCCTTGCCCAAACTCAAAAAAGCCTATGAAAAAGGTACCAGGGGCATCTCATTGGGCCCCCTACTGACCCCGGGCCCTCGGGCAGTGCCCGAGTTTCCAAATGGTCAGTCTGCCCCTGTGTACAACTATATAGGAAAGTCATAGGACAACAACAAGGTGATGTTGGTGGTCTCCTTTTTCTTTGTAGCTAGCAGAAACAGCACAGGGACATAGGATTTGTATCCCAGCACTGCTTACATTGAGTACTAGTAGAAGAATGGTAGTGACTTAGAGGGAGTGAGAGGGAGTGTCAACGTATCTAACCTCCCTGGCGTTATGATTATTTCAGATTTTTGGTGCTGAAAGCGGTACCATTATTCTGCATGGAAATATGTAGTTTTTTTTTTATTGTAGGCTGTAATATTTAGGAATAACTCACTGAAATCTGTCCGAACAAGAGTCTATTAAACATCCCGGGGATGATAAAATTTGAAACACAAAATCATAAATTATAATTTAATAAATAATCATAAAAAATAATAATATAATAATAATACATTTAATTCAATAATATAATCAAACCAAAAACACTCAAATTTGAAATATAGCGCCAAGTTCGCACATCGCTGAGCAAAATCGCAAAATTGTTTTCAGTGTCTGATGAGGAATTTCCCCCACGAATCATTATCACTCAATTCTGCAAGTGGTTCTGATTTACTATCGCTGTTCTCTAGCCAAGTCTAAACCAGCTTTTGACATAAAGGGACACTTTTTGGACATTTCTCAGTTTCCAGGCAGAAAGAACATTCAAAATGCAGACAGGGGACAGGACAGAGCACTCGGGACAAAATGTATGTGAAATGGGTTGAAACAGCAATGTTTTACTATGTAAAATCGTTTTGAAAAAAAATGAATTTTTTTTTAAATTTTCAAATTTCCCACCGTCGGCGGCGCCCGTACGTCCCGACGTCACAGGGACCGGAACACAGGAGCCGGATGCCGGCATCGGGGACGCTGCAGGGAACACATCGCGGGAGCGAAGGACAAGGTAAGTGCTGCAGGGACTCCCTTTGCAGCGCCGCATGGTAAGCCCGAGTGTAGCTCGGGGTTACCGCTTTTGGTACAGACATTTTACCCTCGAGCTACACTCGGGAATACCGCCAGAGAGGTTAAAGGATTCCACCTAAAAAAAAACCCATATTTACAATCAAAAATAAAACCAAATACATCTATCCAAAAGTGAGCAATGGATTCAATACTTGGAGCCAGCACAATGTTACTTATCTCCCAAACAACATACCTCTTATTACAATTTGGCTCATGCATAGGGATATGCACAAAAAAAGTTTTTTGTGCATTTGGCTAATTTCGATGCAGGGACACATTGGATGCCATTGCTGTCATTTTGGTATAGCTGGGCATCACGTGTACCTTTAAGGAGGGATGGGCTTCTCTAGGCACATCTGCCCTTAACCTTATCCATTGATATACTGTATGTGCTCATACTATGGAGGCTCTTGAAACTTTAGAGTTAGCCCCACAGTATACAGAGGACCCTTGATGTGGGACTGTGGCCTATGCATGTATTTGCAAATGTGTGCAGACAAAACCTCTGTTTTTAACGCAAACTGTTATACAGGGCCAATTTGGTTGTTTTGCAGGCTGGCTGGTAAGTGTTGCTACATAGTTACATAGTTAGTCTGGCTAAAAAAAAGACAAAAGTCCATCAAATTCAACCATTAAAAAAAAAAAAAAAGTTACAATCCTTTACCCACAGTTGATTCAGAGGAAGGCAAAAAAAAACCCAGCAAAGCATGATCCAATTTGCTCCAGTAGGAAAAAAAATCCTTCCTGATCCCCCGAGAGGCAATCGGATATTCCCTGGATCAACTTTACTTATAAATGTTAGTATCCAGTTATATTCTGTGTATATAGGAAAGAATCCAGGCTTTTTCTAAAGCAATCCACTGATCTGGCCAGAACCAACTCTTGAGGGAGTCTATTCCACATTTTCACAGCTCTCACTGTGAAGAAACCTTTCCTTGTTTGGAGATTACATTTCTTTTCCTGGGAAATCCTTTGTTTGCGACATGTATAGGGATACACCTGCCATTATGAGTTAGAAAGGTCAAAGGCTTATCACAAACTGATATTGATTGCTTTCTTTCTGTAGCTCAGATTTAATCATTGTTTCAAACAATCCAATTGTCTTTGGCTCTTAAATGATATTAAAGCGGGGCAGCACAGTGGCTAAATGGTTAGCACTTCCGCCTGGCAGCACTAGGGTCCTTGGTTTGAATCCCAGCCACAGCACCTCCTGCCTGGTGTTTGCATGTTCTCTCTGTGCCCACGTGGGTTTCCTCCAGGTACTCCGGTTTCCTCCCACACTCCAAAGACATGCTGGTAGGTTAATTGGATCCTGTCTAAACTGGCCCTTGTATGTGAATGTGAGTTAGGGACCTTAGATTGTACGCCCCTTGAGGGTTAGGGACTGATGTGAATGTACAATATATATGTAAAGCACTGTGTAAATTGACGGCAGTATATAAGTACCTGAAATAAATAAATAAAGCGCAACTCTTTTGAACTGAATATTTACTATTTCTAGCTGTTACTCATATGTTGGAAGAATTGGTGGAAGCCAGACAGTTTCACTGGTTTATGGCTGCCTCTATAGGGGGCCTATACAACATGAACTACAACATGCCCTGGGCTTCTACCATGAACATGCCAGAAGTGATCGTGACAACTATGTTGACATCAATTACCAGTATATCTCTGAAGGTAATGGGGACATTTACACAGAGAATTTAGCCTTGTTTTCTAAAAAGAGACATTACCACTGCTTCTGTCTTGTTACAGGATACTGGGGTGATTTTGCTAAAGCGGACACTAATAATCTGGGCACTCCATATGACTACGTTCAGTGATGCATTATGATGCGTAAGTCTTGACTTTTGTGTTAGCTGATGAATTACCAATAAATTATAACATATTTTAGTGGTAATATGTCGATCCTATCTCTATTCAACACTTTCCAGCTATTTATTCACCAACACCCCAAACAAACCCACAATTGTCCCCAAGCCTGACCCCAATGTGCCTATTGGACAGAGAATTGGACTGAGTGTCTTGGATGTCCTTAAAGTTAACCGACTTTATCAATGCAGTAAGTTTCTGTACATTCCAATTGTATGAGTTTGAAACATTAGAAACATTATATAATTGCGTTTTCAGTGAATTTTTACAGTTTTGAAAAAAAATGTTTAGACAACAGAAGCAAAATGTGCACTTTATTTTCTGGGCCCAACTACAGATGCACACAATAAATAATATACACTGATGTGGTATCCCCATGCATCTCAAATTCATTTTGGGTTCTGTATTGGTGGTGGGTCATGGTAATGATAAGAAAGACACATTTAAAAAATAATTATGGCTTACAATGTGGCCAGTTTTCTTTGAAAAACAGATTCCCATTAAGATTTACCACCAAATGAAAACTCAATTTGGCCTGAACAAAACAAGGTATAATTCACTGGGATACACAATTGTTGTAAAAATAGTTTTACTAACACATGCTAAAATTGCAAAACTGCATTCAGGAATTAAGGATTGCTTTTATCTTCACCATAAAGGGGTTAGGCTCAAGGTTCATTTCATTATACTGTAAATTCAAAATTCTAGCAGTTTTAATAGAATGTAAATGCCCCTCCCCCATTTCCCACAAATCCATTATTAATATGATTATTAGTCTATTCCTCCAGTAACTAAATACAATTTCTATGCCTATTTCTTACTTCTCAGGTGTCTGCGCTACCTTGCTTAATAGTAACACAGGAATTTTCACATCTGCCAACTATCCCTTTGCTTATCTTGATAATGTTAACTGCGTTTGGTTGATCAGGTCTCCATCAGGGCAGGTAAGGAAACAGGAATGTAGATATGCAATCTTAAATGTCTTGCAACCTAGCTGTGAAAATCAATTGCCATATGAAGAATGTTTTGTAGACCACCCAAATTTTACATTTATAAAAACAAATGTGAATTGACGAATGTAGAGCCAAAGAATCGGTCCAAATACTCCCCACCTTAATATTACTCTTTTTACTTTGAAATATATACAGTATAAGACTACTGCGCTTTGTTTTGTCATATTTTGCCACGGTGAAAGACTTTCAGGGATGGATTGAAAAAGAGGAGCCATAGTGGTGGTTTGACGTTATGGCTGAGACAGAGATATGGAGTAGGCCCTGTAAGATGTAAATGCCTCTGAACCTCATACTCTGCTTCAACCACCAATGTCTCCATATTTTGGAATAATACTTCCCTTCATTACGGCCCACTTTATAGTCTTCAGACTATCGTTAATTAATTATTCATTAATGGATTAATTTGCTTTTACAAGTATGTTACCGATAGTAATGGTATTGCAATATCCAAAGACACAGTATTAAATCAAAGGTTTCTTTGACTTCAATATACCAATAAACTAAAGACTTCTGTTAAGAGTTTATTAAAGCTTTTTGAAGCTTATTTGTCTTATTGAAGATACTACAAGTAATGAATCAGTAGGAAGTAGAAGAGTTCTGTGAACTGAAAAATCAATGAAAAACACTTACATGTTTGAAGAGACATCTTAGTTACATAGTTAGTCTGGCTGAAAATAGACAAAAGTCCATCCAGTTCAGCATTTAAAAAAAAAAAAAAAAAAAAGGTATAATCCTATACCCACAGTTAATCCAGAGGAAGGCAAAAAAAAAAAAAAACCCCAGCAAAGCATGATACAATTTGCTCCTGCATGGAAAAAAAAATTCAATCCTGATCCCCCGAGAGGCAATCGGATATTCCCTGGATCAACTTTACCTATAAATGTTAGTATCCAGTTGATATTCTGTGTATCTAAGAAAGAATCCAGGACTTGTTTGAAGCAATCCACTGAGCTGGTCAGAACCAACTCTCGAGGGAGTCTATTCCACATTCTCACAGCTCTCAATCTGAAGAAAACTTTCCATGTTTGGAGATTAAATTTATTTTCCTCCAGACATAAAGAGTGCCCCCTTGTCCTCTGTGATGACCTCAGGGTGAATAACTACACCGAGTTCACTATATGAACCACTGATGTATTTATACATGGAGATCATATCCCCCCCTTATGTATTATACATGGAGATCATATCCCCCCTTATGTATTATACATGGAGAACATATCCCCCCTTATGTATTATACATGGTGATCATATCCCCCTTATATATTATACGTGGAGATCATATCCCCCCTTATGTATTATACATGGTGATCATATCCCCCTTATGTATTATACATGGTGATCATATCCCCCCTTATGTATTATACATGGAGATCATATCCCCCCTTATGTATTTATACATTATGATTATACGTGGAGATCATATACCCCCTTATGTATTATACATGGAGATCATATCCCCCCTTATGTATTATACATGGAGATCATATCCCCCCTTATGTATTATACATGGAGATTGTATCCTCCCTTATGTATTATACATGGAGATCATATCCCCCCTTATGTATTATGTATTATGTATTATACATGGAGATCATATCCCCCCTTATGTATTATACATGGAGATCATATCCCCTCTTATGTATTATACATGGAGATCATATCCCCCCTTATGTATTATACATGGAGATCATATCCCCCCTTATGTATTATACATGGAGATCATATCCCCCCTTATGTATTATATATGGAGATTGTATCCTCCCTTATGTATTATACATGGAGATCGTATCCCCCCTTATGTATTATACATGGAGATCATATCCCCCCTTATGTTTTATACATGGAGATTATATCCCCCTTATGTATTATACATGGTGATCATATCTCCCTTATGTATTATACATGGAGATCATATCCCCCTTATGTATTATACATGGTGATCATATCCCCCCTTATGTATTATACATGGAGATCATATCCCCCCTTATGTATTATACATGGAGATCATATCCCCCCCCTATGTATTATACATGGAGATCATATCCCCCCTTATGTATTATACATGGAGATCATATCCTCCCTTATGTATTATACATGGAGATCATCCCCCCTTATGTATTATACATGGAAATCATATCCCCCTTATGTATTATTATACATGGAGATCATATCCCCCCCTTATGTATCATACATGGTGATCATATCCCCCCTTATGTATTATACATGGTGATCATATCTCCCCTTATGTATTATACATGGAGATCATATCCCCCTTATGTATTATACATGGAGATCATATCCCCCTTATGTATTATACATGGAGATCATATCCCCCCTTATGTATTATACATGGAGATCATATCCCCCCCTATGTATTATACATGGAGATCATATCCCCCCTTATGTATTATACATGGTGATCATATCTCCCCTTATGTATTATACATGGAGATCATATCCCCCCTTATGTATTATACATGGTGATCATATCCCCCCTTAATATACGCTTCTCACGAGAGAATAAATTAATTAGTTAGAAATATCTATAGCTGTGAGATTGTTTATCAGAAATTAGAATCCTACATATGCTTATGGTTTTGTTCTGTTTTTTTTTTCTTCTGAAGGACTGTTCAAGCATTTCCGCGATTACAATATATTGTAACTACATAATAACCCAGTTTGTAGTGACAAATATGTGAAGCTTATGGTTTACTGTAGATAATACATTTTCTTTGTGTCACTTTTTAGGCTTCACTAAATTTCAATAGCTTTAATATCCAGTCCTCTCCTAACTGTGAATCTGACTATGTGAGGATCTATGATGGTCCCTCTAAGGACTCTCCTATGTTTCTGTATAAAATGTGCGGCAGTATAACCATCCCTCCACTCATCGCGTCCACAAGTCATATGCTGGTTGAGTTTGTCAGTGACGGGGCTGTTGGTGGGGTCGGCTTCCAAGCTACATATAGCTCAGGTATGCTGATTTATTTTTATGGTAAAGAAAGTGTTCAGGAAACACTGAAGAATCATAGATGCAGAGCCAAGGAGGAACTATTGAAACAACAGTCTGATGTCCTCTCACTTCTGTTTGCAACTTTTTGAGTTAATCCATAAAATCTCTAAATATATCCAATCAGTATGAACCATTCTGTTTGGCCCTCTCACTATAAAGTTGTTGATAGATTGTTCAGTGTGTATGTTGGTCAACTTTAATTTAACACTTACTTCTATGACTTGTTTTGGATCACATACTGTATAATACATCGCCCTGGCTGTATATCCCTCCTCTCGGCCTCCTGCAAAATTAGGAAGTTGGCAAATCCCTATAGACTTCTATGTGGTTGACAATGTCGTCCATCATCCTCCAGGGTACAGTGCAGGGACCAGACTTCCCTCCCCCAGCACTGCATGAGATCAATGCTAGCTTTGCTTAGGGCAGTTTGGAATAAGTACAAAAACCTACATTGGCAGCCAGTGCTCATCTATGCTCTCCAATGTTCTTGTATGTGGGGGAGCCCTCAACCTGTTCATGTACAATTCATGACTTCTGATCCTGTGTTGTACTTGATGACATCTGAGAGTCTGCGGCCAGGGGAGCAGCAAAAAGAAGCATCTGGGGGAGAAGCAAAAAGAAGAGTCTGACAGCATGAAGAAGCCTGTGGGAGGGAGAAATAGGGTAAGCATTTCAACATATGTATCTCCTTGTACACTAAAAAAAGCATGTAACCCAAGCAGTGCTGCGGGGGAAAACAGGATCAATACATTTTACAGCAGCCTAAATTGCGGCTTTGAAGTACTTATCCTATTTAGGGCAAAATAATA